ATAATAACGTTATCGGTGGACACAACGCAAAGTCAGTATGCATAGCACGATATTAGAATACCCGTACTTGAACATGCACTAGGTGCATTCATCGAAATTACATCGAATCTCAATTATCAATTGTTACCATCGCTGGATCTAAGAGCTTGCACGAGCTAAGAGCTTGCTACATGCACGATCGAAGGATTCAGGAAATATGACCCCATGACCCCTATATGGCCGCAAGGAGCATGACCTAGTGGTCTCGTGGGTCGACAACATAACGGGATGCCTATCTAGCACGTGGCCGTGCACCTGCTAGCGACGTGACTAGATGTCAAAGAGTAACGAGACTAAATGCCGAAATGTCGCACAACTGAACGCCTACCCGTGGCTGAGCACCCAAAACCACGTGACCACCATCCGTTTGTCACGTGACTAGCACGCCTACACGGGCGCCAACGCATGGCTTACTCTCCAGCCCGACCTCGACGGCGACCCTGACATTTGCGTGTGTCAAAGGGTCTGTCGGTCGACATGGGAGCTGAACCAGGAAGTAGCCTGGCCGACCATACCATCGGACTGCAGGGTAACGGTGCCCCTCAGTCTGCTTCCGGCCTCCGGCGCCGTGGTGGAAGCGAGTGCCGGCCGAGCTGCTCAGAGGTCGGCAGGAGTCCAGCGGATCTTGTGAGACCTCAGGAGGCGGGTCTGATCCAACCAGCTGCGCCATGGGGAGCGGGATGAAGATGCCGTCCTCAGTCGGTCTCCTGGCTCTGGGGTTGGTGGCTGTTCTTCTGCCTCTGGCTGCTGGTATGTCAAGGTGCTGAGCCTCCGGTTTTTCAAGTGTTTATTGGGGACGTACTTACACATTGAATTTTTGGCGAATTAGGTGCATTTGCAGTGACAACGATTGGTCCCGACTCCCGAGAGCTGCTGTTCGTACGTAAAAGTGTTGGTGAGGATGAAGGCTTGCGTACGTCTTCCTTGTGTGTCTTCGTGCCTCGTAAGCAGCAGGCCCGCAAAATACACCATTCGGGTCTCGAAATCAAGCGAAATTCAATCTTCATCCTGCATGTGACGGTAATAGCCTTGAGAGCCACCTTGAAATGTCTGCTAACCAATAAGGATTGGGTACTTTATCCAGGGCCCTTCTTCATACTTCACCCTCTTACTAACCTTGCATGCCCTCTGACACGAGTCCTTGTACATAAGCTAAGCAGACCATACCTACCGTCGAAACGGCTTCTGCTGTGCTTACCTTGAAGTTGTTGAAGCACCACTGAAAAACGTAACTTCGTTTGGTGGAGAACGTGAGGCTGACCTCTGTTCACCGATATTTTGTTTCAGGAAGCGTCTTCTCTGTCATTGACATCGAGGATGATTTCTACTTCAGCAACCCCAAGGTTCATCACAAGTCCTACTACATCAAACCACAGGTTCCTCGAGCGTCTCTTCCGGTTAAAATTCGAAGTGAGTGATGTTATAGGTAGTCGGGAGCGGGGCATCTATGTACAGTCAGTAGGTATTGAAAGTACCGTGCATCGGTGCTGTGGGTCCATCAAGTCCGATTGAGGAAGGACTGCCAAATTTCAGAGCCACTGAACCAACTGACCCGGGGATTGATGAGGATATCAAGTGGTTCAGTGACCTTCAAATTTAGTAGCCCTCCCCTGGTCGGGCTTGATGGATCCACCGCAGGATGCGCGGTACCTACTTTCAAGACTGACTGTACAATACACATTGCCAGCACATACACTGTGTTATCATTGCTCGTCACTGCATCCCGCACGCTGTTGAGCTCGTCCGCTCTCCTCCTTCCAGACGGCGATGAGGTGCTGCCCCTGTGGCTGCCTTCCACCGAGTACCGGTGGCTGGCCGGTCAGGCCATCACCCCGGTCCTCCGGTACACGGGCCACGACCAGTACCTGGCCACCGTTCTGGGAGACGGCCACGTCCTGCGGGGTCGGGAAGAGGCCACCCAGTACCTCCGTCAGCTGAGGGACAGCCTGCTGCCGCCCTCCTACCTGGCGCCTCACCTGGATGTCGTGTTCATCGTCTGGGCCAGTGACAGCAGGGGGTCGACTACCACTCCGACTCCCGTAGGAAACGCGTCTGATGGACCACTGAAGGGACTTCCGCCGACTCAGGAGCCGACGATAAGACCAGTAGAGATCCCGACCCTTCCGCCTTATCCGGGTCCGATTCCTGGTGGGTTTCCTTCCGCGTCTCCTTCCTTTAGGACCAGGACTGGTTCTCCCAGAACTTCTCCAACCCCTTCGCCGACTTCACCTCCTGTGGCACCACCTACATTCCCTACACAACCTCCTACACTTCCCACAGAACCTCCTACAGTTCCTACAGAACCTCCTACACCTCCCACGGATCCACCTACACAAGTCCCTGCACCTCCTACAAAACCCCCTACGCCTCCGACAGAATCCCCTATACTTCTTCCCATCACTCCTCCCACTAGGAGACCACGATTTGCGTTCCCAACATCCGCTCCATCCTTCTTCAACCGCCCGTTCAACATCGGCTCCCTCAACATCGACGACCTGATCAACAGTGTCATCCAGAGCGGGAGGGGCACCGTGACCAGGTCCAGTGGCAGCACTCGCAATGTTACCAGAACAAGAACGCAGACCAGATCCGCCAGCGAGTTCAACAGAAGATTTCCATAAAAATGCGTAAAAGGTGCACTTGGGGTGATGAGTACAACACTAAAAACAAGACACGTATGTTTGTCATATAATGACCGACATATGCAATGCATTTAAACACTATGTGCAAAAAGTGTTTCAAAAATAAATGAAAACAAACTAAAAAATATTAAGCTGCATAAGTCTTTGCCACTGTGGTGCTGAAAAGCTACAGAGTGGGTGGGGAAATGTTGTGCGTTTGTTTAAACTTATTTGAATACTCTGTGAATACTTATAAAACAGTAATTGTATGTCAAACAATATACAATGTAAAGGCAAAGACAGCGCCCCGATCTGAAGGAGGTTCAGCACATCACTTGTCTCTTGAGACACTTCCCTATGAAGCGTTTCACTCAAATATTTAAACTCGTGCATTTCACGAAAAAAATGCACGGCAAAACTCACTTATACCTTTATCAGCCTATTATATGGAAGCGGAACTGCCGTGAATGCAACTGTGCCGGTTGAATGATCACAACAGAAAGCTCACCACGATCTGTATCTAAGTAAGTCCTATCTATACCTCCAGGTGCCCACATCTTCCCACAATCGTGATCCAGATCGGTTCCGGTCCCTCCCTTCTCCCGCCCACCCGCTGTGCACCGAAGGTCATCAGGTCACACACCGCGCCCATGACGTCACCGTTACGGATCCTGGGTGACGTCACTAGCCGTTGACCCGTGCCGGAGCGGTCTCCGGCTCAGGGGGGGGGGGGCAGAGGGGGGGGGGCTGAAGGTCTGACGGGTCCGGCCGCGTGCGCTGATGTCTGTCCTCCACTTCTGCCGTCGAAATGGTCCACCGCTCGCTGACTCAGAGTTGTCAGTGTGTTCAGTAGAGCGTGGACGAGCAACATGCGAAACTGCTGAACTCGCTGGAGCAAGCAGACACATCTAGTGCCTTTTGAGGAATGGATGTCAGTTATATCCTAAATGCACATTCGCCAACTTTTTTTCTGAACACTTTTATCATAGGCGATGGATGTCGCATGTCTTGCTGATTGGGGCTTGCGGCTTGCCACTTAAATTGCTTATCGAAAAAAATAGCATTGCACATAATTTTGTCACCATGCCATATACCTACATTGCTACAAATCAACCAACAGTCAGTGAGGCTAGAACAAAACAATCTTCATCTGATAATTCTCAACTTATCTAGCCTAAGAAGTCACTTGCCATACACACGACTGGGACTAGAAATTTACAATTACGGGCAAAACTGATCATTTTTGTCGGTTTTTTGTAGCTACTGTCTGACACCGCCATGCGGACACTGGGCATCACATTAGCCCTTTTCATGACGGGCCATTTTACAAATTGGCACCAATTCGATATCAACAAAGTGGGACAAAATATCTTAGGTTTATTTGAATCCTTGCAAAAAAATGTACTTTCCCTCCAAAATATTGTATAAGCTGTAATCCAGGAGGCCATCGAATCACATACTTTGTAAATAGCGATTTTTTATTTTAGTACATGATTATTTGATACATTTAGTCAGAAAAATTGCGGCTCGGTATATTTCCAGTAATAAAATGTCAAAGGCTCCGCCCCGTGCCGACTGCGGGCCGCCGAACCCAGCCTGGACATCTCGACTGCGCTGCAGCACATTCCCCGCTGGTACACTGGGCCACCTAACCCGAGATGGGCCGACAGAACGTGAGACGGGCCGACCTAACCGGAGACCGGGCAGGCGAACCGGAATGGGTGGGAGGGGGAAAACAACAAAGTTGAACAAACTGATCCATTTCATGCACGAGAGCAACAGATGACTACAAGACATGTACGGTTCCAGTCGATGGTGTTTATACTTTATAGAATCTGTGCACTGTGCACCCCTAAAAAGAGAGGCGTAGATAATCGAAATAACACTGCATATTTGAAGTGATGTCGATTTATCGTAAAACTTACTTCCATCTTAGTCCGTTCTTGAGATCATTGCTTCACTAAATCCAAACAATGCGTAGCTGTGAAATCAGAGATGATCTCACACAATCTACATGTTCCCAAGACATGTGATCTATTTGGGGGTTGACGGGGGCGGGGGGGGGGGCTGGCGGAGGCTGATCGGTCGCTGCCTTCGATGATTGACTCCGCGGGGCGCACAGTCGGGGTGCCCACTATGCGGAACTCTGGTGCTCATACCACCTCGCTATTTTACGCGAAATTCGCGCGGGCGGGAGCTGCGGATATCCGCGCGGGGCGGCCGCGAAGGTAACTGTTGACTCATGCCACGCGCGCCGGCCCCACCCCGCCCCGCGTTATGGGACGCTCCAGTGCCCCAGGCGGAGGCTGGGAGGGTATTTAAGCTGTGGTGGCCAGCAGGGGGTACTGGAGTGTGGTGTAAAGTCCCACAGCCTACAGGGGACTGACGGCCGACCAAATGGCTATCTTCGCTCTCGGAACGGTAAGCGGATCAGTCTGCGCAGAGGCTTCTGATAGTTACATTGTTTTCGATGACGTAATTTCTTTATTATCTAAGTTCATGGAAATAAATTACAGTCGCGTTTTTTTTTCTTGCTGAAAGAATGCCGAACAAAAAATGGACGCATCTCACATACACATGAATATTTTACCGACAATTGAAGTTTTTAATCATTATTCTTACAGATAAAGCTATTTTTTCTATTTTTTAAAATACAAAGTAATGTACCTTGCAAAAAAAACAACAGTTATTCAAGATAATTCTACATATTCAAAAAAGCAAAACACATCTTCGCAATTGCTGGTAGACCATTAGCCTCTTGCAGCTACCCTTTGGCGAGGTCACGTTCACACAGCAGTACCGCCTGTTACAGCTGCTGCTGTCTGCCTTGGCGCTGACGTCCTGCAGCGCAAATGGCATATCCTACGGCAGGGGCTACGGCTACGTGGGTGAGTACAAAGTCGTCCACCGGCAGTGTATGAACGTGGCGCCTACTGCCTTGTAAGGCTTTTACTCGGATCGGCTATGAGTCGTTTTACGTTTTGTTATAATAATTCTAATAGCACTGGCCTACAAACCCCCTTCAAATAAAAAACTCGAATTCTTAACGAGTCTGCAAAACTATGTAGGTAAGCTACGTTACTATAAAAATAAATTTCATAAATTCATGACACTCTTAATCAACTTTTTCTTGGGCTGTCAGCTTTCACTTTCGGACGTGTCTATTTCTGGCCGGAATTCAATGGTATCATATGGATAAAGTAGAAATGTTAATAGCACCCAATCCTGAGAGCTTGCGGACTCAGCGTTCAGCGTTCACCCCGTGTCCGTCATCCGTGATGTGCAGTGTCAGCGGCGCGCCAAAACGTCCGGCTCAGCTGACCCCGTCGCGCCAAAACTGTCAGCGCGCCAGTGACGCAAGTCTGTGACATTTACCGGCAAAGTTCAGCAGGGCAGCCTTTCTGCGCTCGGCGACCAAGGTCGAGGCGCAGTTGGGTACATCGAGCTGCGCTACTGGACGATAGAAAACTGACGAAAATTGTGTCAGAACTCAGAATGTTATTTGCTTATGCCAAATCAAACCTTTTTTTTTACCAAATCAGCTCTGCCGAGCGATGAACAGAGATCGTGTTAAATAAAAAAATGGGCAAAACTAAAGTATCGATTCAGGTATGACAAGTCTCTAAGCCTAAGCATTAGGTAATGCGTTTGAAACAATCATTAGGTATTTAATTTTACGACAAAGATTTTAAAATGAGCATGAAGGTTACATTTTGCCAGAACTGACCACCTTTTTCCGTTCACAGGTGCTCCTCACAGGAGAGTTCTGGTAAAGGCGGTTCCAGTGAAACGGATTGCATATGGCCACAAGGTACGGAATCATCTGCAACGTTGTTCTGCATAAAAAAAAAACTATAAATCGTACCACACCCAGGCAGATCAAGTATTGACGGGTTCATTATTTGCTATTGCTTGCTGTTATTATTCCATGGATTTATCCTTTTTCATTTTTGATGCTTTATTCATAAATGCTATGGCTGAATCGAATTCACTCAATCGGCTGTTTACCAGATTACGTGAGTCGATAAATGTGTTTCACTTTTTGTATCGATTCGTTGAGCGTTCCAAACTTAATTATTTAGTGGTTCTGCCTTCACTTTTCCGATTACCTTACCCTTTATACAGTTGTTTTTATAATAGATTTTAACAGATTGTCGTTCATTCTGTTTTTTTTGCACCTCCACTAAACGTAAATTTACAGATACCTTTATTCATCAATTTCTAACCACCCCACTCTCCGTCTGTCCTGCAGCGCGGAGGTGTGTACCGCAGCGCGCACGACAGCTACGATGAGCGGGACGCCCTCCGCACCGCCGACTCGGACGTCCACCACCGCCTCGTCCACGCCAAACCCGTCCACAAAGTCGTCCACAAGGCCGTCCACGAGCCCGTCCACACGGCCGTCCACGAGCCCGTCCACAAGACCGTGTTCGTGCCGCCCTACCCACCGGTGAGTCGTAGATGCAGTCGAACTACGATATACGATATATTCAACGGTTGAACTATATAACTACGAGCTATTCAACGATTGCTAGATTTGGCATTGTGGTAGACTGAGAAATGAATAAGGCCGTGCTAGTATCAACTTGTCCGTCAATAAGCTACCAAAAGGCTAAGGGGCTCGTTCAAAAAGTTGCATTAGGCCCTCCTTACCGGGCCGTAAGTCACTCTATGCCAGAAAACAGGTCAAAAACAAATTGGTAGTCATTTTCGTCATGCTTTGTGAAGTCGTTTTATAGCTGCATGACGTGGCAGTTGCACGCTGATTGCTCTATATTTCTTCAATGCCCTTCATGCCCGCACGCAATCATTGATGACTATGACCTTAGCATTGGACGCCCTGACGTGTGACTTACGAGTCGAGAAGTGAAGCTCTGTTGACGGCGCAGGAAGTCGTTATGCTCGCCATTATGCTAACAATATGGAACGAACGAGTGATCATGACATTGGGCTTACCGGCTATCAGTTCAAGGAAATTCACTTTGGCGTCGCCGAGGCATGCATAATGTTTGGCAATGCATAACGTAAAAGTAATGGTACAGTAACTTGCCTTTGTCTCATTTTATTCTACATAAAAGTGAACAGGCCTACTTGCTTTTTTCTCATGTCAAGGAAAACATATTTATTTTGTGTACAACAATGGCATCAAGTGACGGACTTGTGACATGCAGCAATCAATTGGAAACTAACTCATTCTTTTCATGATGAAACGTTTGATCCAACCTTTCCTGCCATTTTGCATAGCATGCCATTGCGTTTGTCTTTTTCTCATCGTAATCCGATGCTCCGGACTCCGGAGGTCAGAATGTGTACTGTGCATTGTGCAGGCCGGCGCCGGGCAGTCTGTATCGACGTTGTGCTTTAGCTCTAGGTGCCCGTTTGGGATACCCGCTAGGTACCAGTTAATTATCATCGGAATAAACAAGGTAACACCTTCTCCCCTCAGGCGCCGGTTGAGAAGACCGTCCACGTGCCGCTGCACGCCGCCCACGACGAGCACGTGGCGCACGTGGCGCACGTGGAGCACGTGTCGTACCACTACGACCCGCACGTGGTGCCGGAGTGCGCTCTGGTCAACCACCTGGCCTACAACGTCACCGCCTGCCTCGACGACGCCGCCTACCCCACGTGAGTCGGGCGAGCAGGGATGAGACCTACATACGATTGAGGAAGGGATACGGCATTATTTATTTCATGTTTACCATTTATTCATGAACTGTTGTCTATTTACGCAGTGGAATCAGCATGAGAATTGAAGAGTATAGAAATAAAAACACTTAGGCTGAATTAACAAAGTGACTATTAAACGAAGTACATTGACGTTTTAACATGGAATCATTTAATGGAAAAATATGGTAACTAATGACTTGTAAAAGAAACATTTCGAAATTAGGAGTAGTCCTTACGTTTCAGGCTGTGCAAATTATAACGGACTTATTAAGATACCCATAAATATAACGGAAGGCTGAACCAACACCAAGCACAAATTCTCTAACGCTCAGCTGGACGAACGCATCTATGTTTTTGACATACATTCCCTGCGTCCTAGCGTTTCGCGTTCTGATGTGACCTTGTATCCCCGCAGTGACTACATCATCCACGAGCTGAAGAAGAACCCGGAGCTGACCGACCGACTGATGAGTGACGTCACCTACCAGTCAGCTGATAACCTCGTCGACGGTGAAGACTTACAATTTTACATATTATTTCTATGTTTCCATTATTGATCGAGCACATACCTACCTGTCCTGTCCTGTCATTTTTCTCTCAACCAATTTGTTTCCTCTAATAATTGAATTTTCCTCTATGGTTTTCAAAACGGCTATTGGAACGTGTCGTCCTATTTGACAATTGTTATGTTGCAATTGCTTTATATTTAATCTAAGCGTTTGTTGTATTTCATTTGTACCTATGCTTTAGCATGAAAATTGTTTCCAAGCTCTTTGAGGTCAGCTATTTCCTCCATCCTTTTATGCTTGTACTTAGCCTCACGGGCATATGATTAGTCTTAGCCTTATCCTGCACTCCGGTGAACTAAAAATCAACGCTCCCTTTACCCCTTTCCCAGGTCTGACTAAGGCGGAGGAGGAGAGCTACAGCCGCCAGCACTACTTCGGTCTGACCGACGGAGACCACCTGACGCACGCGTAAGTAAAGGGATTAGCCAACAGAGGTTATAAAAGAAAAGATTACATCGGATCGGGAGCAAGAGAACTATTAAACTGGGAAAGATAGCCCTGGCCAACAGGAGATACCGATGGGAAATGATAGAATGTAGGATGGGAGGCAGTGAGATCCGATCAAGATAGTCCTGCGGGCTTATCTCGCATCACAATTAAATTGACATGACATATTCGATATGCATGCTTCAAAAATCATATCGCGCTTGTCCAGACCTTCCTCTGTGTTCTTTCAGTGACGGCCACGCATACGGCGCCAGCTACCAGGAGCAGGGAGGCTACATCTGCCCCTCCGACATCTTCTACGGCCGGGTGAAGCGCGCCGTCAACACGTTCGGAGAGTGGAAGGTGATAGTCAACCTGCCCGATAACTTCCGCCACGACCCCAAGTACAAGAAGTATGTGCAGACCTCGCGACTCGAGAGCTGCGTGTAAGTATTGGTGGCGAGCTGTGGTCGAGAAGACCAGGGTTCAGACTTGAGAGCAGATTTGGGATAATAATTGGATTGATAGCCGTATGGAACTAAAACTGGGAACGAAAAGCGAAGCATATGGGATCTGTCATCTGGGGCCTCATAAAAGCTATGCAACTTGACAAAAATGAATTTTGTTTGGCATTGAAAAGAAATTGGCAGGATGAGAATTAGGTAATTAAATGGCGTCGGTAGAGGAATTTTCTACGATCCGGACTCCGGAGGTAAAGACAGGAACTTTGAGTATTACGACAAATCTGACATTTTCGCTGACAATGCACAGTCGAAATATGTTAAACATGCCCCGATTCTTCTCTCTTTGCGGCTAAATGGTAATCCAAGCAGCGATTTGGTGAAGGCATCAACACAATGCCCACATTTAACCCTCGCCGGCCGAGGGGGGGGGGCGGGTGCCGCCCCCCCCCATAGGGTTTTTTCGCGATAGCTCCGAACACGCTGGCGATAGAGAGCTGAAACTTGGCATACCTGACCTTTGATCCAAGCCGGATCTTTTGACACCAACCGCATTTTTGGGTCAGGTCAGGTCACTGACCTATGACGTCATAAGTGAACCTCTGCACGCTCTTCAGATGTCGCAACTTCGCAACGCCCTCACTGCCAGAGGAGATGTCACAGGGAAATGAAACTTGCAGGATCTAGTATCCATTATGAGTCCCACAACTTGTATATCTCGGATTTTTCCTAAAGGTCATATGAGGTCAGGTCATTTTCGTGACCTCACCATTATAAGTCAATGGGGAAAAATTCAAATTGCTATTCTGGCGCCGGGAACGATCTCCAACTATCTCAAGCACACAGAATCGTGATTTGATGCACTCCTTGCAAGGTTAGATGCGTCACTTTTACAATGTTGACCTTGCGTGACGTCATTTATGACGTCATCAAGGTCATATTAGTTTTTCGTCAATAACTCTTGTTCAAATTGAGCTAGCGAGTCGGGAAAGCCACTAATGGACTCCGGAAGACCTGCCGAATCGAATGATATGCGACACGACCTCTTTCGACCAACTTCGTGACCTGGGGGTGCTGACCTGACCTTGACCTGAGGTCAACACCCCAAGTTGACCTGACCCGGACAAAAAAGTATATCATTCGACGCGCCTGAGCGAGACGAACACGATGCTGCCAAAATCGGCGCTCTGCGGCCGTTTTTTGCGAAGTTATTCACCAAAAACTGAACCGTACCTTGGGGCACTTGACCTGACCTCAGAGGTCACCGGTTGACCTAGGACCTTAAAATCGGGTACCAATCTCTGCGTCTTGTAACGGCGCACACGCTCGTTTTTTCCGCGACGCGCTAGCTCCACCAGGGGCGAAACGGCGAGGGGGGGGTCGTACCCGCCCCCCCCCCCCTCGGCCGGCGCGTATGTAGAAAACCAATAGGTCCGGCGAGGGTTAACCCACCAGCTCCACAGTACGTAACCCCCACCCCTCCCGCGTTCCTGCAGGTACCCTGGCGCCGCGTGCAGCTTCGTAGACCACATCTTCCCGTCCGCCTGTCTGCAGAAGTACTCCTTCGTGCGCCTGGTGGCCTACAGTTACGACCGAGGCCTGCATGTGGACTCTTTCAAGCTGCCCTCGGCCTGCTCGTGTCACGTGTCGCCCCGGCCGGTGCCTTATTGAAGTGATGGAGGCCGGCGAACCAGCGGTGACCTGATCCGTGACTAGGGTTGGCTTCTTCAGTTGTGATTTGGCCCGTGTCTGAGGCTCAGGCCGGAATTTGACCCTAACTGTGGACTGATCGAAATCGATTGCTTTTGCCAGTCTTTGATGAGGATCTGAGGGCATTTTCCACGAAATTTGATACAAACTTCACTTTCAATGATAGCGGCGAGATTTGTGGACAGCCTTTTTTATAATTTATAGCTGTACCTGTGAGTGTACTTTCTGCGCTAGTAAGTTTCACTCGACACGTGAAAAAAAAACATTTAATACACTGAGCTACCGTAAGAAAGACTGCCTAGATAACAGAAAGTGGAAGTGTTATTATTAACTCTTGATAGCTCTCATGTATGCGTTTTTCTTTTTCGATGCGATTTTAATGCATTAACGTATTTATCACGAGTATGCAGTATGCTCAAATAAACTTGTCGCTTGATCAAATTCTTATTTAGAAACCGAGAAGAGGTTTGACACATGTTCTCACTTATGTTGTGTGAAATAAAGATACTCATCATTCCAGTGCTGTTGCGGTTTTATGGCGTTGAGTATTCCACATAGTTATTGCAGTTATCTCCCGCTCAACATTTTGAGCGAAGTATTTCTATTGTGAGAGGCGAGCTCCAGCCTTCCAGGCTTGAGAGCCTGCCTCCGCCTATGGCGGCCGCCGTCACGTGACCTGCGCCTCGGAGGTCGCGGGGCGCCGCCCGCTGGCGGCCAGTCTTTGCTCGGTGAGTGACGCGCGCGGATCTCACACTGGTGGCAGCGTAGTGAACGGTGCATCGCCGGTGATTGGACGTGCGTACTCGGTGAACAGACGCACTGTGTGGAGTGTGGACATTGATTATGGCAGAACGAGGCTCGGACAAGCTGGTGTGGGGGGAAGGAGAGACGATACAGGATTATTTGCGGCGCGTGGATGCCTATGCGCTGTTGGGGGATGAAAAGAAGACCATCGGGAAGACTCTTCTGGGACTCGGTCATCGCATCAGCGTCATCGACTCGCTCAGCGATACGGACAAGAGCTCTGTGACGAATCTGAAGGCAGCCCTGCTGAGAGAGTTCGGCGACACAACCCAACAGAGCCAGCGGCAGTTCCTGACCAGACGGAAGCGGGACGGTGAGACGTACGGCATGTTTCTCTCAGCGCTTCGAGTACTGTTTCAATCTGCCTATGCATCGAGCCCAGGTCAGTCCAACACCGATGAGAATTCGGCAGTGGGGATGGCTCTGATTAAGTCGACGTTCCTGTCGGGTATTGATAGCGGGGTGGCTGGGCAGCTCCGTCTACAGTTCCCAGACGCTAATATCCAAGATTTGCCAACCCATGCGAGGGCAATTGAGGAGGCTATGGGGCTGCGGAAGGGAAAAGCGGACGTTTGTCAGGTTGCCGAGCAGTCTGGGAAGCCGGACCAGATTGCTGCGCTTCGCTCCGAGGTGCAAACCCTGACAGAGGCTGTCAACGCCATGCGCTTCGTCGATGCTGGTCGGGGCCGCGCGGCTGTGCCGGTGCTCGGACGCGGCGGCGGCGCTGAGCCGGGTCGCGGTGGAGCGGCCCGGCGTGGGTCACGTGTCCCGCTCGGGGCGCCGCCGGCCGCCCCTGTCTGGACAGCGGCTGGGCGCAGTGGCGCGCACAGGGTCGGGACCTGGGAGGTCGGCCACGGCGGAGCGGGGCGGGGATGTGACACTGACGCACGGGGAGTCACGTGCTGGACGTGTGGCGAGCCAGGTCACGTGCAAAGGTGGTGCACGCGCGCGCCTCTGGCAAGGGGCCGCGGACGGCCAGCGCCCCTGGTATGCTGGGCGTGTGGCGAATTCGGGCACACCCGCTACCAGTGCTCTACAACATATTTAAACTGAGAAGGGTCGCTGCCACGGAGCGAGCGGCGGCCTCTGGGACAATGGAAGCTCCCCTAAGGACGTCGAACACGCTACACGTACGGGGAAAAATTGGGAAGCTGGACTGCACGTGGATGGTGGACACGGGCGCGTCAGCCACCTGTGTGTCAGCCTCCCTGCCGGGGATTCAGGCGATGCACCACGAACCCGCTGATGTTAGACTCGTGGCCGCCAACGGCTCGCCGCTGGTGTGTCTGGGTGCGTTATGGACTGACGTAATGTTAGGACCAGGACTGATTCGGCACGGCATTAAGGTGTGGGTTGTCGAGGATTTGTCAGCTCCTGGTATTTTGGGAAATGATGTACTTCAGAAGTTCGGGCAGTTTTCAGTTGATTTTGAGGCTCGTGTGTTGGAGCTTGCAGGCCACCGGCTGCCGTTGGAGGCGCGCGCCAGTGGAGCGCCGGTGCACTCTGTGCAGGTGCGTCTGGGACACGACTGCCTTCTGGAGCCGCACTCTGAGCGGGTGGTGGAGGTCAGTGCCGTGGACTTCGGCGCGAATGAGCGGGACGTTGTCTTTGAACCAGACGCTGCAAGCAGCCTACGTTTGGGAGTAACGCTACCGCCCACAGTAGTTCGGTCCGGTCCTATGAACAGAATGCCTCTGTTGGTATCAAACCGTGGTAATCAGTCAGTTCGCCTATACGGTAACATGACGCTGGGGGAAGTCACAGCTATCCAGGTGACCGAGGGTGAGCAGAGTCTGAGGGCCTGTCGACCCGGACCAGCGCAAGTTGACCTTAGCAGCGCGGAGATAAACGAACAAGAGAAGAGAAGTGTTGAGAAGCTGTTCAGCAGATATCGAGACACGTTTGCAAATAACGATGACGAACTGGGCAAGACACATCTCAGGGAATTCAGGATTGTGACAGGGGACTGTCCGCCTGTCGCTGTTCCAGCCCGGCGCACTCCATACCATTTGCGTGAAGAAGTTGCGATTCAGATACGGAAAATGGAACGGCAGGGTGTCATTCAGAAGTCCAACTCGCCTTGGTCAGCTCCACTGCTACTGGTAAAAAAGGGTGACGGCAATTATCGGTTTGCCATCGACTATCGCGCTCTCAATGCAAAAACGGCAACAGAAGTGGCATACCTCCCAACAGTACGCGAATGTTTGGACAGCCTAGCCGGTTCAAGATTGTACACAACTCTGGATCTGAATTCAGCGTATTGGCAGGTTCCCATCGTACCGGAAGATCGTAAAAAGACTGCATTCTGCACGGAAACAGACCACTGGGAATTTCTAGTCATGCCATATGGATTGAAGAATGCGCCGAGCTGCTTCACAAGGCTCATTGCTGATGCACTGCGGGGTCTGTTGGGTAACGGAGTGACGGCCTATCTGGACGATATCATTATCGGTGGCAAATCTTTTCAGGAGCACCTGTCGCTGTTGGAAGCGGTGCTGGAACGACTGAAGCAGGCTGGGTTGACGGTGAAAAGTAAGAAGGTGGTTGCCTGTCGGCGGAAGCTCCGTTTCCTCGGGCATCTGGTTGGTGATGGAGTGGAGCCGGACCCGGAAAAGGTGGCGGTAATCAGATCCTGGCCCAGACCTACGTCCACGAAGGAGTTGCGCTCATTCCTCGGTCTCTGTGCTTACTATAACGACTTCGTCCCTGACCTTCAACGGGTAGCAGCGCCGCTGCACAGGATTTCGGGAAAGGCGAAGTTTACATGGGATGCCGAGCGCGAAGCGGCATTTGAAGGCTTGAAGAGGGCCCTCAGCGAGACCACCACTCTACAGTTCCCGAACATGCAGAAGGAGTTTGAGGTCAGTACAGACGCCTCGGATACAGGCTTGGGATGTGTTCTTTCTCAGAGAGACGATTTGGGTAGGGACAGACCAGTCTGCTTTGCATCGAAAGCGTTTACTGACAACGAGAAGAACTGGCACATTCGTGATAAAGAGGCCTTTGCTTTCGTGGTTGCGTTGCGGAAATTCCGACCGTACCTCCTTGGAAAAAAGTTCAAATGGTTTACAGACAATCGAAGCTTGACGTGGCTACATAACACAAGAGATCCTCGAGGCCGCTACGCTCGGTGGCTTGAAGAAATTCAAGAGTTCGATTTTGACGTGGAATATCGCAGAGGGGCAAGCAACTCACATGCTGATGCCATATCCAGATTACGTGTCTGTGTCACACAGGAACATGAACCACGAACTCTGAGCATGGTGAACGAAGTCGACATGGTCTCGGCTCAACAAGAGGACTTGTGTTTGAAGAAGCTGTACAGTGAGATCAGGCTAAAGCGCACCAATGGACCAGAGACGGTGAAGTGGAGGAAATTGGGCTGGGAACCGAAAATCGAACCGGGAAGCGGCCTGTTGGTGGCTACGAGGAAGCAGAAGGAAATGCTTATTGTTCCTGAAAAGTTCATTTCGCTGGCTCTTCGTCTTAAGCATGATGATGCTGGACACTTCGGAGCGAAAAGGACTGGGGTGCTGCTACGACAGGCTGGTTACGGCTGGCTAACGATGAAGGAAGACGTGAAGCACTACTGCCGCAGCTGCGTTACGTGCGCTAAGGCCAACGACCCCCACCGAAGGTACCGCGCTCCGCTGTCGGCAACAACCCAGCCAACCGAGGCCTGGCAGCACGTGTCATTGGACCTGATGGGACCGATCGGCGTCACACCCACCGCCCGAGGTAATCGGTTTATTCTTGTGGCACTGGATCTGCTCACTAAAGGGGTTGAGTTAGTCGCGATTCCTGATAAATCCGCCAAAACGGTGGCTGAAGCGCTGGTTGAGAATGTTTTCTATAGACACGGGCTGCCTGAATCTCTGCTGACTGATCGTGGTCTGGAAGTCGACAACCAGTACTTTCTGACACTGGCACGAGCGGTCGGCATTGACCGGAAGAGAATCAGTGCGTTTCACCCACAGAGCAATGGTGCTGTAGAGCGGTGTAACCAAACGCTGGGATCGCTGCTCCGAAGAATGGCCCAGGAAAAAGTAGGTGACTGGGATGATCACCTGTCGCTGGTTCGGTTTCAGTATATGACAGCTGAGCACAGGGCAACCGGACATTCGCCTTTCTATCTCCAGTTTGGCCGTGAGCCCCGTACACCGCGCCTGGCTGAGAGGGTGGAGCCGACCGGACGGCCGCCGGACGCCAACTCATGGGTTGAACGACTGACAAAGGAGCTGAAGGCAGCTCACGCCACTGTAGTGGAACGGGAAGAGAGGACGAAACGGCGGCGTCAGGAGCTCAGTAGCCGGAATGCGCACGCCGCCCGGTACAAGAAAGGGGACCTGGTGTTCCAGCGATGTCCTCCAAAGCCGGGTCGACCGGGGAAGCTGCAGCCCCGCTGGGACGGTCCGTACATCGGAGCTATCGTCGTCAGCGTCGGACGAATCGGACGAGGAAGCCGAGGCAGCATCTGGTGTCCCACCTCCCCGTCGGGGCAGCCGGCAACGCAAGCCGGCGTCCAGATGGCCGGAGGGCCAGTGGACGCAGTAAGACCGGCGGCTCCGGGGGGGGGGGGGAGGAAGAGGACGGAAAGAGGAAAATCTACGAGGAGGGGAAGGTGTGAGAGGCGAGCTCCAGCCTTCCAGGCTTGAGAGCCTGCCTCCGCCTATGGCGGCCGCCGTCACGTGACCTGCGCCTCGGAGGTCGCGGGGCGCCGCCCGCTGGCGGCCAGTCTTTGCTCGGTGAGTGACGCGCGCGGATCTCACACTATGTAATTTCAAGTTACATCCCCCGTATAGTTGGGCGGATGCTATAGTTGACGTTTTTCAACGGTCCTACGATAAACTAACAGATATTTGATGAATATTCAAGACAAAGCATGCATGTTACCTAACTTCTCATTGGGCCTCTCCGGTTCAGCGATTGCTCTGCGATCGATATTTTCCGATAATCCTCATCTCATACGGGTTGTCTCAGCTCACTCAGTGACAAACGACAGGCAGCCGACTAAACATGAAAGCTCACCGATAACTTGAACTAATTGTATCGATAGTACATGAACCTCCAGGCTCCACGAATCAAACTATAAAAACAGTTACATTTAAGGCGTAACGGTTTCGTCTATTGACTTCTTCAGCGCCGTATGCCTGGAGGTTCATGTACTATCGATACAATACTTGTCCATTTATAACTACAATTGTCGAACTTGAACTAAATGTTAAAATGCTTTGTCGTTTCATGCAGCGCCTGCGAGTCGCCAAATACGGCGGACTGGTGACGAGATAAAGAAGAACACCTATCAGTTCTGTTGGTACGGCTCACTCACGACCCCGGTGGCGGGCGACTCGGTCGGTCTGATCTTCATCTCCACGGCCTTCAGCGAGGCGTCCTGCAGCCACTCCGGCCACACCACGCCGTACAGGCTGCTGGAGTTGACCGGCGTCAGGTACGGCCCGTTGAGGTTGCTGTGGGGACAGGCGCCGTACCACCACCCTGCTTCCCACAGCGTGGCGCAGTGGTCCTCGCTGCCGTCCTGGTCCCGGTCCCTCGTGGAGAACTTGTGACCCGAGCTGCCGGAGAGACTGTCCCCGGCGTCACCCGAGTAGCCCGACGCGGTCAGACGGTAGCCGTCCGTCACCCCCGACACTAGGAAGGTGCTGTACGTCGCCGTCTTCGTCTCGCCGTCTGCGCTCTCCAGTTCGACTCTCAGCTCGTAGTGGCGACCCTGGATGGCCGTCAGGCGGTAGAGGTTCTCGTTGCCCCACCAGAACTCTCCCAGCACTGCGCCGAAGCCGCGGCCGTAAGCCTCCCAGCCGAGATTGAAGTCAGTCCTGGGGCGAATGTCGGCGCGGCGCTGGATGATCGTCCACCGTCCTCCGGCGGTACTGAGGTCGCAGTAGGCCGGCACCGCGCGGTTCGGACTCGGCCACAGCAGGTAGACGCCGCTCCTCGCCGAGTCGGGGAGGTCACTGCAATCGCGAGGGGTCAGCAGTGCCGTCAGCAACTGCGACTGCATGTCCACCAGCTGGGAGAACATGGTGTCCGATCCGACGTCCAGCTGGTTCTGCAGCTGCGTCTGGGTGTCCTGCAGACGCGCCGATAGGTCAGTGTTCTGCTGGGTCAGAGCCGTCTGGACGTCACGAATCTGTGACGTCATCTGAGGAGTGACGTCATTCACCTGCGCTCCGAGACGCTGGATGCGAGTCATCAGTCGAGTCTCGAGTCGATCCAGCTGCGCCTCGAGGTCGGTTTGGACGGCTTCCAGCTGCGAGGTCAGCTCTGTCTTCATCGTGTTCAGTGAAGCACCAAGGATGTCAACAATACCTTCAGCTGCTGCTCGGATATTCCTGTCGATGGCGGCTGCGAAGTCACCATCGTCAACTCCTTCGTTGCCGCCATCTGATGTTGAATAACCGACGAGGGCGGAGCTACGACACGCCAAGGCGCACACCACAGTCACAGTTACAGACCAATAGGCTGAAGAACCCATGCTGAAGCTCAAAACTTCAGATACATGGAAACTTCTCACACTAGAGCCACGTCACTGGTGGACTCGGATCACTGCCTTCCCTGTCTGACTGCTTTCTGAAGGGATTGTCGAGACTCGGTCCCCAAGTAGGAGCGATGACTGCGGAGACTCACTGACTGACTCTCTCCGGTCGGGCAGCCCGGGCTAACTGAGACCGACTCCGTCTCTGTTTGTTGATAAGTGGTGAGGAGAGCAGAGGCTTGGATGTTGATGTTAGGTGGTGGGAACGACAGACGCCAGCATCGATGATTAATGGTCTCGGGGCCTCAATGTGTATCATCCTACCGCGTGTTTAGAGATTGCTTACTAAGTCGAGAAAGGGAGGGAGAAAACAGGAGTGATAGGCAAAATTTACCTACGCCTTACAAGCTAGTGCGAATCATTCGAGGAATAGTTTGAAAATTTGGTTTACATATATGTAGGTCCGTAATTGGATAGGTAGGTATGACTATGGGCGGCCGACAGACTAGCCCGCGGCATTTCTGCTTTTGAGCGTCTCATATCTCAGCAGCAGTGACTGAATGTCTACCTAGAGGTGAACTAACACTGAGCGCTTGAGAAGTAAGTAGGTAGGTAGCTTATTTTATCTTCCCTTTACCTAGGTACCTATACCTGCTTTCAAGTATCAGCGATCAGGTTAAAATTTAATTCAAGAAGCAGATAAGCACTAAAATGAATTTGGTTGGTGTGGAAGGCTGTTTTTGTTCTTTCTATTGAGAAATATTCGAAATAACTTCAATGCAAATATTCCTATGACGTAACAGCTTGTTTGTCATTTCTGGGTGGGATTAAAAAACATGTGAATTGCGTCGATTGTCTGGGGAATATCTCCAACCTTGGCATTGAGACAAACGTTTCAGAATTTCGATAACTATTTGTATTTTGGGAAGGACGCGTGTATATCACACCACGGTGAGATTTACATAATGCATCGCACTGTAGTGTAAACCTCACCCGGGTGTGATTTACACAATACACTACTCCTGTGTATATCACACCACGCGGAGTGTGATTTACACAGTGGGCCGGCAATGCGTAAATCACACCGGGGTGTGATATACACAATGTGCTCCTAGTGTGTAAATCACACCCGGGTGTCAGACCACGCAGCACCTGGGTGTGATTTACACAGTAGGCCCGGCAAATGCGTAAATCACACCGTGGTGTGATATACACAATGTGCTCGTAGTGTGTAAATCACACCTGGGTGTCAAACCACGCAGCACCTGGGTGTGATTTACACAGTAGGCCTAGCCAATGTGTAAATCTCACCAGGGTGTGATATACACTGTGTGCTCGGTAGTGGGTAAATCACACCTGGGTGTCAAACCACGCAGCACCTGGGTGAGATTTACACAGTAGGCACGGTAACAAGACACTTAACCAAACCTTAGACCTGACCTGACCTGACCTAACCTAACCTAACCTAACCTAACCTAACCTAACCTAACCTAACCTAACCTGACCTACTGATTTTTGCCTACCCGTGGATGAGGAAGAAGGTACTCGCATGAAGAGATTGCAAGCAATGGTAAGTCAAATATTTTTAGGTTAAGTGGTTGTGCATCAGGCTTCAGGCCTTCGGCCTGAAGCCAGATACACAACCACTTAACCTAAAAATATTTGACTTACCATTGCCTGTAATCTCTCCTAAGGCATTGCCTTCGGCACTGCACCGCTTCGCCACGAGCATTCAGACGTCGCTTTCCACATTGTATTGGTGCTTTTAAACTTGTCGGTCGGCAGCGAACCCACCGCTACCAAGGAAAAGCGAAAATGCGGGAAAAAGCGCCCGCACCGACGGGACTCGAACCCGCAACATTCGTATCATGGTGCAAGCACCTTCACCACTAGGCCAGGCGGTTAGCTGATTCCGAGAGAGAGGACGCCCGCAATCCCGCCGGAATATTCGTAGCGCTTAGTCTGATCTGACCAATGGGCGAGCAGAGTCACTGCTCTGACCAATGGACGTTCAGCGTTGCTATGACGTCACATCGTGGTGAGATATACACACAGCTGCCCTCTCTTGTGTATTCCTCACCCGGGTGTGATTTACACTACGTAGTAGATTTTGTGTATATCACACCGGGGTGGGTGTGATTTACACAAATGGCCGGTATTGTGTAAATCTCACCGTGGTGTGATATACACGGTCCCTTTTGGGACAGTATCAGTAGCTGTATGTCCAGCTCGTCCAGCTGTTGAGGTACAAGAGAAATCGGTTAGAATCTGGTCTTGTGTATCAAAAAGTAATAAGCAAATACTGCTCGGAAAGTTTATTTTGCTCTGATTGGTTATAGCAAGGCCCTAAATACAGCCACAGGTTATAGAGTCCTGCGAGGTCATTTGCCGCTTAGCGCCGAAAACTGCTTCACGGGGCATTTATGTCAATTAGAAGAGCTTTGCGGCCATATACCTACAGCATAGAACATATTTTTTCATGCTGCTTTGCAATTAAGTTGAAATGGCTGTCGGTAGCAGCTAGATTGGGTGTTTTGTTTTAGAGCAGTTTCAGTTTTTTGAGTTTATTTAGATTGCCGAGTTCGCTAGGCCATTACAGTAAGCTGACGCAAGATAAAACTTAATTCATGCTGTATGATTTGTCTTTATGATTGTTCAGCACAGAATAACTTTTTCAACTTGGGTATCAATCAGCAATCATGTGAAAGCAGCTGGCAGAAATGGAAAAAGTGATTTTGAGAACACTGAATAGATTCTGAATGTCATATCTTTGGTCAAATGGATGCTTCCTGATAATTTCCTTCAGTGCATTTTGGAACTCATATTTGTTACTTCTCACAGTTACAGCTAATTATCAAAAGTTTAAAACAAAAATATTTAATTCATTTCACCTGTCAGATTATCTTTGCTTTTATATAGGTAGGTAACAAAATGGATGTGTTCCGACTTCCGACTAAACCCGCGAGTTGCTGGGGGGGCGTTAAACGCCCCCACTTTTTTTGCCGGGCCATAGCATAAAAACGGTGCGCCGCAGGCACGCCCAATTTTGGGTACTTGTAGGGAATTGATTGAAGTTTATTTTGACAAAGTTTCAAAAAAATTAGTCTGAAAATTTTTGAGATATCGAGGTTTTAGTGACGTCATGATTTCTGAGTTTTCGACCAAAAACGGCATATGTTCAAAAAATCATATAAAATCACAAAATAGACATACAGACATGCTGTAAACGCCATTAGACTGCCAATACCATGAACAATGAAATGGCTATCTTCGATTATTGATTATCGTTCCGCATTTTCCAAAATCTTGCACTGAATCTTGGCAATTTCTCGTGACTACTTCACGACCATGATACATGCATTACTTAAATTGAACTTTTTTAGCCAAACACGTACACATATGATAAAATGAATGTCACCATCGTGTTCTATGCCCCAAATTACCCATAAAACGTGTCACAGGCTGCGAATATCAGTTTTTATTTTCGGGGATATGTGCCTGCCCGGTTGACCTGACCTTGACCCTGACCTATGCTTGACTGACCCCTGCATGGAGCTGAAACTCTTGTAGGCCTTATATGATGGATTGTGCACCGGTTTGACAGAGTTTATGACGAGAGGCGCCCATTGCGAAGTCCTGAAGTCCATGCTACTGAAAGCCCGATTTCAGGTGTTTGACCTGACCTTGACCTGACCTGTGACCTCAAAATTCAACTTTAACCCGCGAGTTGCTGGGGGGGGGGGGGGCGTTAAACGCCCCCACTTTTTTCGCCGGGCCATAGCATAAAAACGGTGCGCCGCAGGCGCGCCAAATTTTGGGTACCTGTAGGGAATTGATTGAAGTTTATTGTGACAAAGTTTCAAAAAAATCGGTCGGAAAATTTTTGTGATATGGAGGTGTTAGTGACGTCATGATTTCTGAGTTTTCGACCAAAAACGGCATTTGTTTAAAAAATCATATAAAATCACAGAATAGACATACAGACATGCCTTCAACGCCATTAGACTGCCCATACCATGAACAATCAAATGGCTATCTTCGATTATTGATTATCGTTACGCATTTTCCAAAATCGTGAACTGAATCTTGGCAATTTCTCGTGACTACTTCAGGACCATGATACATGCATTTCTTAAATTGAACTTTTTTAGCCAAACACGTACACATATGATAAAATGAATGTCACCATCGTGTTCTACGCCCCAAATTACCCATAAAACATGTGTCACAGGCTGCGAATATCAGTTTTGATTTTCGGGGATATGTGCCTGCCCGGTTGACCTGACCTTGACCCTGACCTATGCTTGACTGACCCCTACATGGAGCTGACACTCTTGTAGGCCTTATATGATGGATTGTGCACCGTTTTGTCAGAGTTTATGACGAGAGGCGCCCATTGCGAAGTCCTGAAGTCCATGCTACTGAATGCCCAATTTCAGGTGTTTGACCTGACCTTGACCCGACCTGTGAACTCAAAATTCAACTTTAAAGTACTCATCTGAAGCGTCTCGTCGCGTTCTTTCGTTTGCCGCCTCGTGCGTTTCGCTGCGCCTAGCGGTTCTCGAGTTATCGGCTGGGGGCGTTTAACGCCCCCCCCCCCCAGCAAACGGTGGGTGGCGAAATACCCCAGCAACTGCCGGGTTAAAGTACTCATCTGAAGCGTCTCGTCGCGTTCTTTCGTTTGCCGCCTCGTGCGTTTCGCTGCGCCAATTGGTTCTCGAGTTGTCGGCTGGGGGTGTTTAACGCCCCCCCCCCCCCCCAGCAAACGGTGGGTGGCGAAATACCCCAGCAACTGCCGGGTAAAAAATCAGATGGAAAATTATAAGATAGATTAGGCTCAGCAGTGGCAGCACTGAGCTGGGGCTAGTTATTAGGCTTTCATCTGCATTTCTCATTCTGAAGTTACAGGGACTATCCCACCTTTAACATGGGGTTTGAGTTGAGATAGCCAAGTTTGCGGCGAGGTTCAGAAACCACTATCTATCTAGGTTGCAACCCCCGCGGCCTCTTGGTGTTGAAGAAATTTGTTCCCTTTATTTGAAAATGGGCCTTGTGCTAGGCCCTATCTTCAACATGGAGCGACCGTTAGTGTGACGTCACCTCGTTTAGTCATTCTGATTTAAATGGGTTTGTTCGTTGAAAAATCGCTTAAAACTGGGTCTGAACTTTGTTGTGGTGCCTACAGAGTAAAAAGAATCAGCTTTATGGCAGCAATGTGGCCTGGGGAAGGAGGTAATTTTGGGCTGTGACGTCACATATTTGAAAGTTTGTGTTTGGAATATGGGAAGCCAAAGATGTTTAATGAAAAATAAATGCCAGAACCGTGTTCCTGGTCATCCAATCTATAAAGTCGGGCACAATTTAACTGGTTTTAACAACATTTTAGAGGGTGGGATTGTCCCTTTAAGTTTTATTTTAACCAATTTTGTACATACTTGCTTTGCTTCTTAGCTTTTCCTTTGCTTTTTCGAACACAAAGGAAAAAAAAAACATTGCTTTTATTACCATTTACATGAAGCTTTTCTTCTTTTCAGAGCAGTATTCTAACCTCACTGCATTGATCAGAGGCCTCTCCAAACCCATCCACTGAGGGATTCGTACCTCTGAGTACCACTGAGGGACTAAGGGACTCGTACCTCTGCGACCGTCCGGCAGCCGGGCTCACCGGACCCCTCCTGCCGAGTCACCATGCCACCGCGGAGCCGGAGCCGCTCCCCAGTCCGGCGCTCAGACCGCGACCCGGACCGCTACGCAGACCGTCACGGGGACCGAGACCGGCACGGAGACCGTCACGCGGACCGTCATGGAGACCGTACCCGAGACAGAGAGTTGGAGCGGGTTCGAGACAGAGATGTGGACCGGACCCGGGACCGAGACATTGAGAGACGCGGAGACAGAGACAGAGAGATCGAGCGGCTGAGAGAGCGAGACAGAGAGAGGGAGAGGCTCCGCGAGAGAGACAGGGAGAGGGAGAGAGAGCGGGAGCGCGAGCTCCGGAGACGGGAGAAGGAGCGAGAGAGGCCCGAGCGACGCTCCCGCTCTCGGGAGAGGGAGAGAGAGCGCCGGGGTGAGACCTCGATGGAGCGCGACTCGTCTCCGGCCGGCCGATCGATGCCCAAACCCAAACTGCTCAAACGGCCGGAGTTCACCGGTGAGTTTTGAGTCATGGGACAGTCTTGTTATGTTAATGTATGTCATATGAATTGTGGGATAGCTGTGTCTTATAGTTGAGTTATGCTTCAGAGAGCAGAAATTGGGTGGCATTGCTTACCATAGAAGACAAATGAAGAAGTTTCGATGGTTGTGCTTGGAGGCTGCCGCTGGTGGTTCATTGTTGTTGTAGTTGGATGGGAGATCAGTAACAAATTGCTTTGGTGGTGACGAGGTAATCTCACGTGAAGTGTGATACAGGAAGCAAATTTTTTTTTGCAACTGTTTCCAATGAGGCAGGGTTTTAGTCCCTATTCGGATTGGTTGTTTAAAAAATGAATGCTTGTTCTGCAGAAGCTTATTTTTACTACTATGTCTCTTCTGGTACCATTTTACCATATGTTTGATCAACAGCTGACACAGTATAATATTCAGGCCAATGTTTGCAGAAGCACTGCCTTAGATGCCACTTTCCATAATTGTAAATGTTTGTTTAAATGAACGTTCATTGTCTTTCACAGAGGAGGACTTCAAGGGGAAAACTCCAGAAGAAATCGAAATGATGAAGATCATGGGCTTCGGAGGATTTGACACTACCAAAGGTAAGCTACCATGACGGTTATCTATTGAAAGTTGCATGGATAAGATGAATCATGTTATCTATAAAAGCGGCCATTTAACTTTGTGACCAAGAAAAAATAAACCATATAAGTGATGTCTTGTCCTTTATGGAAGCGCTACTAATGCCAGTTTAGAGGCAGTTGAGGCTTATTTTAATGTGGTAGAGTCTCAATCTTACGTGCCATCCAAATATCTTTTGATGACCAGAGATAACCTCCAACTCCTCCCACTTAGCTGAGGCCCATCTCGACCTCCCCCCCTTCCCCCCACTGACTGCCTGACACCCCTCCCCATGTTTCGCCGGCAGGTAAGAAGGTGGACGGGAACAACCAGGGTGCCGTTCACGTGGTGCTGAAACGACGCTACCGGCAGTACATGAACAGGAAGGGCGGCTTCAACCGGCCGCTAGACTTTGTGCTGTAAAGGCGGCCCGAGGGGTGAGGTCGCTAGACATTGTGCTATAAAGTTCGGCCCGCGTGGTGAAGCCGGCAGACATTGTGATTTGAGAGCGACTCAACTGAGTGAAGTCGCTAGATTTTGTGCTCTAAAGACGGTGCGAGGAGTGAAGCCGCTAAACTACTGTGCTCTGAGGTTGGCTCATGGGATAAAGTCACTGGACATTGTGCTCTGAGGGCGGCCATATGGACACTATGGGTGGTACTCGAGATGCCGCGTGGCTACCCTGGTAACGGAGTCATAGCCGGTAGCCTTTGAGGTATGAGTGCGGAATGCGGATCAAGACACAACGCGTGGACTTTCAGTGCTCCGAGTGTCACCAGTGAACGCTTTTGGTGTACTTTGGTGTGCCGTGGAGCGTCACCAAGGACACTGGTGGCGAACGGAGTCCTCTGGGTGTCAACCAAGGGACGCTACTGGTGGATCCAATAGAAACCGAGTGAGTCGTGGTTAGTGAGCGACGAGTCAATGCTGAGGTTTGGGACTCATGGACACTGGTGTGTGAATGGAGTCGATGGTGGAGCCTGTTGGTCTATCCTGATCTGTAACTACCGTGAGAATTTTGTGCTATGTGGTGTAAAACTAAAAATCAAACGTTCGAGCTCATTCTGAAGACAGCTGCCTATGCTTTTCATTTTCATGTCACATTAAGCAAAGACAATTCATTTGTGTTTGGCCACCTTTATCATTTAACCCGAAATGTCTGATAGCATGCGGATTGCACGTCGGTGTGTCTGTAAACGCCTGTTGTCTGATCTTATGGTGTCCTGCATTTTTTCTTTGGTTGGGATGAGAAGAGTGCAGGTACTTGCGTACGCTTCCCTCACTTTTGTATGTTTTGCATCCAAGATTGTGTTACATAAGTTCAGTAATAAAAACAATGATACAAAACATTTTGCTTATATTCCTCAGTAATTGCAGAATCGAGAATGCGGAATGCGAAGCCCATGTAATGTATCTTCAACTTCTGTGTATGTGGTACTCTCTCATTCCGTCTTTGAGTCGCTTACATGACGTCTCGCTTCGTATTCAAACCAAATCACATCCTAGACTAGGAGGAAGTGTTCGATCACTTTTGGCTGGTAGTCGATCTGGGCAAGATCGCCACCGAGCAGCAATTGTCCGAACCTGAGATTTACATGTCTCCCGCTAGAGGCGCTGTAATCACTGAATCACCGGCACCCACCCTACAGTGCACGACATTGAAATCTTTCAAGGGAGTCCCACGCGGACCATTACTGAAACATTCAGAAACCACACGCGTCGCCTGGGTGACGGTGCCTCCAGTGAACTGAGCCGGCCGGGCTGACGCTCCGTCAGGTCAGAGGTCACGACCCGTGCCGGATGGACAGGCGGCCACCGGTTGTCGGTCCGTCAAAGCGCCGGTCACCGACACGACAGCAAGTCGCACGGTTTTGGCTGTAGTTGCACCGCAGTAGGTCGTAATGGGGATGACTTTTCACTTGACTGGTGAACTGAGGGTTACGAAGGATTGAACTTCGTAGTTGCACCGATAATGGATTACCTTACATTGCTTTTAGGCCCTAATTGTTACAAATTAGAATTTAGAAAGATACGTGTACGCACTCAGGCACGCAAAGGTACCACCGTAACCTGACCAGGGTTGAAGGTTTGGTTTTATACAGTCTGGTGATAATAGGCCCGTGTTCCCAATTCTTCGCTTTAGCTGCGAAAAGGACGGTTGATCGTAGCGGATATCGACGGGGCGACTGGATGCGAACAGGACATTTTTTTCTGCTATGCCATTCCTTTACTTGTTGTCTTGAACATTGAAAACTCAATACTTACTAACCGGTGTCTTAGGTACGAAAATGCATTTATTCTTGCTTTGAAGTTTGATGAAGTCCATTCACCCGACCTGTTGACCTGACCTTGGATGACCGAAGCTTCGAAAAACATAGATATAAGCCGATGAGTTCATTTAAGTTTGGCGATGAGATGCTGGATGGTCGTTTACAAATAATCGCGCTAAGAGATAAAAAGTTACACAGGAGAAGCTGTAGGGAGGGGTCGCCTGTGGAAGCTGGTAATGACGGCAGTAGCGGCGGAACACCTTCAATTAAAGGGGGGGGGGGGGCACTGCCGACATTTGGTCCCATTCTTTCCATGCAACGCCCATAGGGCTTATGTTAAAATGCCAAAATCAAAGGGGGCACGGTGCCCCGGTGCCCTCCCCGTTCCGCCGCCTATGAATGACGGATAGTCGGCTGACATGTCGAGAAACCACTATCGCTTCTCTCCAATTACTTTCCCTCTCCATATCTTATCCTCCGCCATCTCAGCTCACTGCCTGTTCCTCCCGTCACCTGATCCACCGTCCCCACATTCCCGTTCCGACCTCACCGGTCTCCCGAGTCCCGGTGACTGTGTATCAAGTGACAGCGGTGTCTCGGGTCTCGACTCTCAGCCTTGCCGCGAAGCTCAGTCGGCCGCCGGTGCTGGCGGCGGAAGGTAGTGGTGCGAGGAGGGTCTACGGCGGGGCTCAGCTGACGGCGAGCGCACGTGCAGAGTGAGCACGTTAGAAAGAGGACTGGAGTATAGCGAGTGTGTGGTGAGAGGAGTGCTGGGTGTGGAGACTGTGAGGAGGACTGAGCAGTGGTGGAACTGTGAGAAACGTGACGGCTCACACCGACCGCCTGTGAAGCTGTCGAGTGTTGCGTCGTTCCTCGCTGTTTCTCAGTTAGACCCCGTCGGTGTTGACTGAAGTTGAACCCGCGGATAATTCCTGCACGGAGCGTCTCTGCATGGACTTTCGACCAGAAAGTTGGCGTGAGACGTTTATTTGTGTAATCATATCGGCAAAGACAAGGTCACCGAGTGTAACTTTGATAGTTTTTGAACGTTTTTATTTCTAAAAATGTAAAAACACTTCGCTGAAAATAGGAATAACCTCGCCTTGATTACTAACTCGGCACAAGTCCTCCACATTTACGGCAACCTTTACGTCAGCCTCACATCCCCTCACTGTGAAGATGCCGGCGAACTCTGTGATCTGGCTGATCTGTATCGTGATCGCAGTGCTCATCTGCGTGCTCTGGGTGCTCATCTGTTACATCGGCTTCTGCAAGCTTCGCCTGCAGCGCCGCTCAGACGAGGAGAGTCTGTTGGGGACTGGACTGTTCGTTGGGGACCTGTCGCTGCCCGGCACACCGCCCTCACGTGAGTACCGAGGCTACGGCCAAGGGGGGGGGGGGGTTATGACCCATGGGTCGACTAAGGGACGACTACCATGGGTTGACTAAGGGACGGTCGAGGGGGTACAACCGAGGGGGGGGGGGCAACTGGGCTACGGCAGGAGGGAAAGCCTACAACAGTTCGGAGGTGGCATCGCCGATCGAGACGCTGCACTATGGTTGGAAACGGCCTCACGGATGGCCGTGGGCAATTTCGGAATATATGTATATTTGGGGTGTCATTCTGTTGCAAATTGATGAAATGTTTTGAATTGGGCAGAAAAAATTATTTAGTTGCGCATTTAGTCTCCATTATTGTACGTGGAATCGGGAGTTTCTGACAGTGACTTTTTTGGTGCGCCGTCAAAGGTTTAAACAACCGCGCTGGTGATAGCATGTGGAGTACCTCCATGACGTTGTAAAACTGGATTATTATATATCAAAATAATCCTTGTTATGTTGGCTATCGAGTGGAGTGACTCTTTTTCCCATGCGTGTTCAAAATCAGGAACGGCATTGCATTCTGTTTGCAGTGTCACCACAGCAATATTTGCAAAATTGCGTTTATGTTTCATTGGACATACAAAAAGTTCTCCATCGACCTCCATTGAGCTTTTTGGCAGAATAAATCGCTGTTCAATTCTGCGTAAGGGGAACGTAAAAGCAGACTGCGCACTTGTGCGCAAAATCGTCCGTGAAGCGTCATCTCCCGAGGCGTACCTACCCGTCGCTTCGTTAGCACCAGGTCGGCTCGTCAGTCTTGCAATCGCTTATCCTTATAAATGATGGTAAGAAGCAGGGTTGCGGAGTCGTGGTGGCGCCAAATCCGACTCCGACTACGACTCCGACTCCTGACTCGTTGCCATGACTCCGGCCGACTCTGTCTCCGACTCCGGACCCCTGCCAGTGTTTCGGAGTCGCGATGGAGCTGTTCCGATTCGGACCGACTCCGACTTCCACTGCGGGCTCCTGACCGACCCCGACTCCGACTCCGACTCCTGGCTCGTTGCCACGACTCTGGGCGACTCTGACTCCGACTCCGACTCCGACTCCGACTCTGACTTCGACTCCGCACCCCTCGTAAGAAGTAACTGCTCGCCCCTGCACCTGGAGTATGAATATCGTGCAAACGTGTATGGATATCCTGGAGTATGGATATGGATATCCACTGACAGAACAGACATACAGACATGCTGTAAACTCCATTACACTGCCAATACCATGGCAAATCAAATGGCTATCTATGGTTTTTGATCATCGTTCTACAGTTTCCAAAATCTTGAATTGAATGTTGGCAATTTCTCGTGACTACTTCACGACCATGACGCATGCATTTCTGAAATTGATCTTTTTTCAACCAGCCACGTACTCGTATGATAAAATGAATGTCACCATCGTGTTCTACGCCCAAAAGTACCCATAAAACATGTGTCATGCATGGGCTGCGGATAGGTACCAGTTTTAATTTTCGGGGTTATGTGCTTACCTGATTGACCTGACTTTGACCCTGGCCAGTGGCCTATGCTTGACTGACCCCTACATTGATCTGACACTCTTTTAGCACTTATATGAAGGGTTGTGACAGTTGTGACAGTTGTGACAGATTGTTTAGGACCAACTGATGACTGAATTTATTTAGGACCAACTGATGACGATATAATCGAAACGCGAAACGCGAGGCACCGATTGCGAGGTTCTAAAGTCCATGCTACTGAAAGCCCGATTTCAAGTGTTTGACCTGACCTTGACCCGACCTGTGACCTCGAAATTCAGCTTTAAAGTATTCATGTGAATCGTCTCGTCGCGTTCTTCTTTCGTTTGCCGCGCCTCGTGCGTTTCGCTGCGCCTATTTGTTCGCGAGTTATCGGCTGGGGGCGTTGAACGCCCCCCCCCCCCCGGCAAACGGCGGATGGGGAAATACCCCAGCAACTGCCGGGTTAATCTGACGCATGTTTTGTCATTTGATCGTCATTTTATTTCTTACTTTTTTGCCTAATCTAAAAAAAAAATCATAAATACTCTTTCTCCAAATTTGTGACCCTTTATGACCAATAGTAAGACACTGTGCGTCACTACGTTGATATTTCTCGCCCTAAAGCATAACAACAATATCCATTCAGTAATAGCAGTATTCAAAACATGTTCAAAATGCCTCACGATATCGATAACATAACGAAAGACATAGGCGACTTATGACATACTTGCAATGATGACGTCACACACGCGTGACGTGACGTGACCTCGTCATTTCTGAGTTACTGTATGATGCACGAAAGACACTGGTATACCTATGCAAAGTTTCATCGCAGTCGGTCTACGCATTAACAAGTTATGGGCAAAACATTTTTTCGCGTTGACCCCCGGCCATCCGTGAGGCCGTTTCCAACCATAGTGCGCTGGCTTCTAACTTCCTTTTTTGAAGCATGCATCTGTTTTTTATGGAAGATAAATATGCCGTTGCATGCTGTTCGCTAACCGCGTTTAGAATATGATTTCCGAAGTCAGATCCAGTACCAAACGCATGCTGCAAGAGACCTTGCTAAAGTTTTTTTTTGCGAGTTTTTGTATCACAATCGGACGGAAGGAAAATGGACGCAGGCGACACAATTCCTTCGGGTATTATCTGTTCGTCATTCGTGAGTTAAGCTGCTAATCTTTCTTTTAATGTGCACTGGAATCAATGAAACCGTCTGCGCC